CCTCCCATTTTGTTTTTATTGCCTAGGATTGCTTTTGCTATAGGGGTTCTTCTCTGGTTCCATACAAAACATAAAACTATTTTTTCTATATCTGTGAAAAATGATGATGGTATTTTAATAGCGATTGCATTGACTCTGTAGGTCACATTGGGTAGTATAGACATTTTAACAATGTTGATTCTGCTGACCTATGAGCATGGTATGGTCTTCCACCTATTTACATCTTCTGCTATTTCCTTCTTCAGCACTTCATAGTTCTCCCTGTAGAGGTCTTTTACCTCCTTAAATATATTCCTAGGTACTTTATTTTCTTTGTTGCTATTTTGAAGAGAATGGAGTCCTTGATTTGGTTCTCACTTTGACTGTTATTGGCATATATGAATGCCTCTGATTTGTGTGTATTGATTTTGTATCCTGAGACTTTACTGAATTCATTTATCAATTCGAGGAGTCTCTTGGTTGAATCCTTGGGGTTTTCTAGATATAATATCATATCATCAGCAAAGAGTGAAAGTTTGATCTCTTCTGCCCCCATTTGGATGCCCTTAATTCCTCTCTCTTGTCTGATTGCTATAGCAAGGACTTCCAGCACGATGTTGAATAGCAGTGGAGATAGTGGGCAGCTTGCCTTCTTCCAGTTCTATGTGGGAATGCTTTTGATTTTTGCCCCATTAAGTATGATGTTGGCTGTGGGTTTGTCATATATGGCTTGTATCATTTTTAGGTAAGCTCTTTCTATTCCTATTTAGTTAAGCATTCTTATAACAGGGTGTTGAATATTGTCAAATGCTTTTTCTGCATTTATTGAGAGGATCACATGGTCTTTGTCTTTGCTTCTGTTTATGTGATGAATTACATTTATAGATTTGCATATGTTGAACCATCCCTGCATCCCTGGGATGAAGCCCACTTGGTCGTGATGGATTATTTTCCTGATAAGCATCTGGCTTTGGTTTGCTAGGATTTTGTTGAGAATTTTTACATCTATATTCATAAGGGATATTGGTCTATAGTTTTCTTTTTTTGTTGCATCCTTTCCTGGTTTTGGTATCAGGGTGATGTTGGCTTCATAAAATGTGTTGGGGGAGGATTCTATCCTTTTCAATGTTGTGGAATAATATCTGCAGGATAGGCACCAGTTCTTCGTTGTGGGTGTGAAACCATCTGGTCCGGGACTTTTCTTTTTAGGAAGTTTTTTTTATTGCTGTTTCAATTTCAGTACTTGATATTGTTCTGTTCAGGAATTCTATTTCTTCCTGGTTGAGCCTAGGGAGGCCGTGTGTTTCTAAGAATTTGTCCATTTCCTCCACATTTTCCAGATTGTGTGCATAAAGGTTTTTGTAGTATTCATATCTTCTATCTCCATGGCATCAGTTGTAATTTCTCCTTTATTGTTCCTGATGGAGCTTATTAGAGATTTTTCTTTTCTGCTTTTCATTAGTCTAGCCCAAGGCATGTCAATTTTATTAATCTTCTGTATAGTTTCTCTGTTGTCAATTTCATTTAGTTGTGATTTGATCTTACTGATTTCACTTCTTCTGCTGGGTTTAGGGTCAGTCTGTTCTTTTTCCCCACTCTTTGACTCAATTCATTAGGTTGTCTATTTGTGATCTTTCTGACTTTGGATATAGGCATTTATGGAAATAAACTTTCCTCTCAAGACTGCTTTAGCTGTGTCCCACAGATTTTGATAACTTATGGTTCCTTTGTCGTTTAGTTCAAAGAATCTTTTTATTTCCATCTTGATGCAGAAGGTTGTTGAGTTTCTGTTAGGGTTAATTTCTACTTTTATTCCATTGTAAGATCTAAAAAGATACATGGTATAATTTTTTTTTAATTTTTTGAGACATGCTTTGTGTCCTAGGATATGGTCAATCTTAGAGAATGTCCTGTGAGCTGATGAGAAGAACGTATATTCAGTGGGTTTTGGGTAGAATGTCCGTCAGGCCCATTTGTCCTAGAGTTCTGTTTAAGTCCATTAATTCTTTAATTTTCTGTTTGGAGGATCTGTCCTGTGCTGTCAGTGGGGTGTTGAATTCTCCCGGCTATTATGGTGGTGTTTAGATCAAGTAGAGTTTGCTTTATGAATCTGGGTGCACCTAAGTTGGGTGCATACATATTTAGAATTGTTATATCTTCTTGTTGAACTGTACCCTTCACCATTATATAGTGACCTTTGTCTTTCATTACTTTTGTTGATTTAAAAACTAAGTTATCTGAAATGAAAATGGCCATGCCAGCCTTCTTTTGCCTTCCGTTTGTTTGAAATATTGATTTCCACCCCTTTATCTTGAGTCTAAATGCATCCTTGCAGGTTAGAGGTGTTTCCTGAAGACAGATACTTGGCTTGTATTTTTTTTTCCATTCGGCCAGCCTATGTCTCTTGAGTGCGGAGTTGAAGCCATTCACATTTATTGAGATAACTGTTCGGTTGAACTTCGTTGCTTTGTTTTCTTTCTTGAGCCATTGTGGTATGTGGCCTTTAATCTTTAGCTTTTAAGTAATTTTATATTCGTGTTTATTGTGCTAATCCGTGGGTAACACTGTTTTGAGTACTACTTAGAGGGCCAGTCTTGTCTTGGTGAATTCCCTCAGTCTTTGCTTATCTGAGAATATCACCCCAGTCTCTCCTTGCTTGTCCTTTTTTCTTTAAACCTTTTAGCCTAAATATCAGAATCGTCACCATGTATAGACATAGAAACAGAATAGACATTCAGCAAATAAGTATCTTTGTGGCAATTAGCAGCATGAGTTTTGGTATATTTAATGAAGTCATTAAAATAGCTTAATGGGATAATTATTTCAGTCTTATGAATTCAATTCTAATGAGTTTTTTGGGGAAAAAAATGTATATTTGGCCATAGTATGGGAAATCTGTATCTTTTCATGCCAGAAGGGGAATTGTACACCTTTTTCAACTTTAGGGGGAGAAAAGTGCTAGTTTGGACCAGTATTCCTAGAAATTATCTAGTGAATGCTCATCTGAAGATTTTAAATGATCATCCTGTAACTATACTAAGTGAATAAACCAGAACTTATAACTATTCTTTTTATTATTCTTGTTGGTAGTTTGGTTTTTTTCCTCAACAGAGTGGCATAATTTATCACAGAATGTTAAAACTTGTTCCCCAAAAATACATTTATCAAAAAAAGAAAGCTTCAAAAACAGTCTTCAAAAAAAGTCTTTCTAAAAAGACTATTTTATCTTACATTTTAGGCTGTGCATATTCCTACATATTTTCCCTATTAATCTCTATGACTGCTGTTGGCTTTTCTCGTTTGCATGAGTATCTCTCGGGTTAGTGTAAAATAATACTCCATTTCAAATTTTTTATAGCTATATTTATATCATAACAGAGTGATGTGGATTTTTCTATTGTGTGCCAAGTTACAACATATTGCATGTTTTTTCTGATTGTTTTATAATTTTGAACCAAGTGCAACTCTAGATTCATAGTCATATTTTAAAATATTTTAAACATGATAGATGGAAAATGCCTTATTAACAGTGAAGTGCCACCTGTGTATAAAACATCCAAGGGACACGGAATTGGCTGCCACGAGAAGACACACAGCTCCTAATAGAGTACTATTTGTGCCACTCAATAAATAATCAAATATTTTTTTGAATCTCCCCTCTCACTTTGCAACAGATGTAGCATCCAACTCTCACAGCGAATATGTGTTTCAGTACTAATCCCTCACTGGGGCTGCAAACTGGAGGCATATTTAATGCAAAGTCACAGCCCAAATGTGAACACATTTCAACAGGAAATGTATGGCAGCCTCGTAAAACCATTTAGAAACAAAATGGACACGCACACACGTGTGTACTATATGTGAAACAGTACACAGCGCTGACAGTATTGGCTATGCGTTACCATGGTAACCATTAACCGAGTTTAGCCTTTTTACTATGTGGTTTCTCTCTCTCATTTTTGTCCAGTTAGAAAATAAAGGGGAGGGTGGCTGTATCTATTTTCTGGGCGTGGGTGTGTATGTAAACACACACATATATCTGTATACTTTTTCCAGGGGCTTCTATATACATACTGTATAAAAGTGGTACAGTTAACATAGAATTGCTCCTCTGGGGCTTATTTAACACACCATTGTCTCTGTGTGTATTTGCATGTCAGTCTGTCTTTTCTGATTCTGTGTTTCTCTCTTATTCAGTATTTATAAGGACCCTCTAGGGCAGATGTCTTAAAACAGCTGGATGGTCACCAGGAGTTAGGGAGAATGAGATGCCTGTGCTGGCCGTCTTCATGTGAGTGACCCAGGACCAGAAGAAAAAAAAGGAAACGCGAAGTATCAGAGTTCAGAACCCGCGTTCAGGTTAAAGGGCACTGACCATCCTGGCTTGTGTTCTGCCTAAAGGACAAGGCTTTCATTTGATAAAGATCATTAGTCACCGAGATATATATTCTAGAGAGTTCCCAGCAGCCAATGTTCCGTTGGCAGCCACTGGAGTGTACCAGATGGTTCATTAGCATAGGCTAGACAAGTCAAAGGCTTTCAGAATCATTTAGAAAATGTCAAACAGAAACAAGAACCCTGTCACTTTTTATTAGAATTAACTACATCATACCCTGGACACAGATTTCACCTTGGGTCAGAAAAATTAATACAGAATTATATGAATTGTGTAATATACTGGGTTAAGATAGGTCTTCCTCCAGGGACTCATTTGCTAGCAATATATTATGATCCCTCTACTTTAGGAATCCTCAAACCTTTCCTTTTGTAAGATATGAAAAGAGTTGACCTTGCTCAGAATCCATTGGTGTCTAATTGATTTGAGGTACATGCAGAATTTCAACAAGACACCCTTCTAAATCTCCTTTGTGATCCTTTTCCCAGGAAGCGTGGGGCTTGCTGAATATTCAGCAGCATGTAGAGTATGCTTTATGTCAAAAGGAAAATACGTCCATTCGTGGAACCCACTGCTTTAGTAAACAGGAAGTAAAATGCCATTGAAATTTTTTTTTTTAATGCAGATGTCAAAAACCTGGAGAACTTCCAGCTGGTGGAAGGTGTGCAGGAACAAGTGCATGCGGCCCTGTTGGACTACACGATGTGCAACTACCCGCAGCAGACAGAGAAATTTGGGCAGCTACTCCTTCGACTACCGGAAATCCGGGCCCTCAGCATGCAGGCGGAAGAATACCTCTACTACAAGCACCTGAACGGGGACGTGCCCTATAACAACCTCCTCATTGAAATGCTGCATGCGAAAAGAGCATAAGTCACAACCCCTGGGGGCGGGGGGGACAGGTAGGGGAAGAACAACGAGAAAGTACTCTGAACGGCTCCAAGCAACGTTAATTAAAAACTTGGTTTAAGGATATTGAATTTAAAAAGGCATAATAATCAGATATTTAATGGCAACAAAATGACGCATCAGGGTATATGCATTGCAAACTGTGAATCAAAGGCTTCACCTCCCCACAGGATTCCACATAAGAGACATTGGAGTGGACTGGACCCACAGATGGACACGGACGCTATTAGAATAAAAACGGACACAGCAGTTCTTGTATATTTAAACTGATCTCCGCTATGAAGAAATTTAGGAGCTAATCTGTTATTAATTAGGCTTAAACACTGGGGGGATCTAAGCTCACAGAATGCCTCCCTGGTAAAGCTGACCTGAAACAGTTCTCAAGAAAGCCTCTGCTGCACCTACCCCAGCCCCTCCCTCGTCCTCGGAAGGCCCCGGCACCTTCTGCCCCGTGACCGCGACACCTGCGCTCAGCCGCACCCCATGGTAGCACCACCGAGTCAGGAAAAGCCTAATTCTGAATGTCTGTGTCTTAGACCTGCAAATAAGAACAGTCTATTACTATGTTAGCTTGCCATTTTAAGTATGTGCTGAAGTTTGTTTTGTCACGTGTTCATAATGTTAGGGGGGGAAAAAAAGGCAGTATCCCTCTTCTGTCTTCTACAAGCATTAATCTAACTTTTAAAGCAAATGCTCTATAGCTAAAGCAAGTTAGGCCTTATTTCTGCCGCTGAAGTGTGGCTTTGGCATTTTTGGATCCCATAAAAATTTCTAGCAAAAAGGCATATTAGGCCGGGTGCGGTGGCTCACGCCTGTCATCCTAGCACTCTGGGAGGCCAAGGTGGGTGGATTGCTCAAGGTCAGGAGTTCGGAACCAGCCTGAGCAAGAGCGAGACCCTGTCTCTACTATAAAATTAGCCGGGCATGTTGGTGCATGCCTGTAGTCCCAGCTACTTGGGAGGCTGAGGCAGGAGGATCGCTTGAGCCCAGGAGTTTGAGGTTGCTGTGAGCTAGGCTGACGCCACGGCACTCACTCTAGCCCGGGCAACAGAGTGAGACTCTGTCTAGAAAAAAAAAAAAAAGAAAGGCGTATTAGGATGCATCAGTCTTTTATAGTTCTTTTAAGCCTATTTTGCTGGGATGTCAGATAGTCACAGTTCTGAATAGTTGGAAACAGAATTGACGCGTGTTAAACCGTGCAAAAGAAAGGGTGAGCTGATAAATTGATTGACTCAAGGTTCATTCTTGCTTTTGTGATTGAGCATCCCCTAAACTTGGGATGGAAATGGTAGAGTTTTACATGTGGCCTGGAAAACGTTAAAGTGATCCAGTTCTTCCCCCAAGGGAAAAGGAAGAGAGTGGTACTGACCTTTCTAAGTCATAGACCAAAGTCTGCTGCAGAACAAATTCTGGAGGACAAAGAGTTACAAACAAATTCTCCAAACGACTCTATCAGTATTATTAACATGCAATGCCACAGGTATGAAAGTCTTGCCTTACTTCACAACTCTAAAAGGTAGCTGTGCAGATGTGGATCAACATTTGTTTTTAAAATAAAGTATTAATACTTCAAAGTCAAATAAAATATAGTGTTTACATTCTTTAGGTCCTGGGGTAGGGTGGGGGGGAACCATGATATTGCAAAAGCAGTAATGTCCTTAATGTTATTTTTCTGATTGGTAATTATTTTTTAACAGTACTTAATTATTGTATGTCGTGAGACACTAAAATCAAAAACAGGAATCTCATTTAGACTTTAATTTTTTGAGATTATTGGCGGCACAATCACTTGTAGAAACTGTAAAAAGTTAAGAGTATCTCCTAGTCCCTTAATTTTTTCATAAATATTTCTGGCTTTTAAATAGTTTATTTATATTGTATATCCTAGTTTCAACTGTAGACAATTATGATGCTAATTTATTGTTCCTTGGTTTCACCTCTGTAAAAGATATAGCCAAGACTGAAGAAACCAAATATATGTGTTTACTGTAGCATGTCTTCAAGTTAGTGGAACATAGTTCAGGGACATAGAAGGGTCTTAATGAATTAAAATCATTCACTTGATTAAATGTCTGTAAATCTTCATAATTCTTACTATAGTTTATTTAATATCTACTGTAAAATAAGTGACTTGTAGCTTCCTGTCTTCAAGTGAAAGGTGGAGTCTTACCTGGTTTTGTTTTCCAAGCATTGTAAGTTGTATACCAAAGATATCAGTTATTACTTCTGTGTGTACAAAAAGGATTATTTTATTATTTTTATTAATCACGTCCAATACTCGTCCACATGAAGGGTACACATTAGCTAAGCTGGGCATCGACTCTTGCAAGAACCTCAGTCACCTGTGTTGTTCTCGTGGCTCGAAAGACAATGCAGAATCGCTGAGCCGAGCTCACACCCAAAGCATCACAGAGACTGGCAGTGCCGCTGCCCTCCCAGGTCACAAACCAAGCGGGCTAGAAGACAAGTGAAGAATGGTGTTGCCAGCAGTTAATGAAATGGTTCCATCAAGTATGTGTGACGTGGGCGGAGACAATTACACAATTTAAAGGATAGTTATTTGGAGGCTCTTTAACATTGCAAAAAAAAAAAAACCCAAATACATTGATTAGGGTTTCGTTTTAGCATTGGGGTCTCTCTTACTGTCCAGATTAGAGTGCAGTGGCATGTGGTATGTTGTTGACCTAGCAGGTTACACCGTGAGAACAGCTGAAAAGCAACACCGTGAGTTACAGCCACGCTGCTGGTGGCACGAGGACAGGAGCTGATAAGCAAGGATGCACCACAGCCAGCGTCTGGGCCACCCAAAGTTGACAAGCGGAATTTCCTTAATGTTAATTGTCAGCCAGTTTGTAACCCGACATTTGCTTAGCAACTGCCTTATCGCCAACAGGACTTATTAGTAAAAGCAGACTCAAACGTAAAGGTTTTTGGCTTAGCTTGGTGTGTGCTTGTAAACACGCGATCTGTAACGTCTGAATATTTGTACCACAGATCTGCAGCTGCCCTGGATTTGAACCCATGCGATGTTTAGAGTGTGACGTTGCTTACTCGTTTTCTTGCTGTGTCAGTGAAACACATATTGTCATGTCAGTTCTTGCCAGGAATTTCTCAACAAAATGGAAGTTTTGGTTGTTTTTTTTTTCCAGTATTTCAATAAATATTGATATGCCCAGCCTGACCATTTTTAAAGTTTTTTTGTTGTCCTCATTCTAGCGGATGCTGAAGCTTCTAAGTAATTAGGATACTTGACTAGGAATGAAATGAAAAAACCAAATCCACAAGAATAGATACATTTGTCTCTCTAGATCTTATCATTTCTTCTTCTTGTTTGGGATTTTTTTTTTGAGATAGAGTCTTGCTCTGTTGCCCCAGCTAGAGTGCCATGGCATCAGCCTAGCTCACAGCAACCTCCAACTCCTGGGCTCAAGCAATCCTCCTGCCTCAGCCTCCCAAGTAGCTGGGACCACAGGCACGTGCCACCATGCCCGCTTGATTTTTTTCTACATATTTTTAGTAGAGACAGGGTCTCACTCTTGCTCAGGCTGGTTTTGAACTCCTGACCTCAAGCGATCCTCTGGCCTCGGCTTCCCAGAGTGCTGGGATTACAGGCGTGAGCCACCGCGCCCGGCCAAGATAGACTGTGTGGAAATGTTGCCCAGCCTGGTCTTCAACTGCTGGCTCAAGCCTCGGCCTCCCAAGTAGCTGGGACTACAGGGCGCGCCGCTGTGCCTGCCCTCTAGATAGCTTCTAGAGTGGCCCGTCGTCTTTCCAATGGACACCTGAAGCACGGAACTGATTCCGCGCGTCATCTCTGCACAGCAAATAAAGAATTTTACGTCATAACAGATTGGCAGAAAAATCTGAACGGTCTCTAACGTTTCTGTAGAGCTCACGGTGCCCGACAACCTTCCTAGGTGCTGCGTTAGTTCAAGGGATCCTCACGTAGCTGCGCGAGGTATTGTTATTCTCGTCCTCAAGCTCCGTGCACAGAGCCGGATGCCAGTCAGAGGACGAGTGGATTGTAGCCAGGCAGTTTGACCCCAGGATCGGTGCTCCCCAAAACTGTCCCATTCTGTCTCTAAGCCAGGGTGACACTTGGGACTCACTCCAAAAGGCAAAACTGTTAGAGAAAGTCGGGCATTACGTCACCAGCAAGCATACAAGCATTTATCAATAACTCAGAAATGTAGAAGCCTTTACAACACTCTAGAGTTTAACCGTAAAAAGTGAAGTGCCAATGTTCTAGAAACTAGCTTCCTTTAGTACCCTTGTGCCTTTGGAGAGGTTTAAGACAACAAAGTAACAACAAAATCCATTCTTGAAATTGACAAAACTTCTATTACAAAACAGCACAAGCGGCCCGAATCACTTAACAGTGCCTGTGACGCCGCGGTCAAGCCCCCCTCGTCACCCTCCACCCTTCCCAGCCCACCCGGGCCACGACATGCAGGAGGTACCGTCCTTTGCCAAGCAGACCCTGACCGTCCCTCGGTTCCTACAAAAGGACACCAAGGAGGCGGACCCAAAACGCCGCACCTAGCAGATCATGGAACTAAGATCCTTAAGCAACTGAATAGTGGCCTGCAAAACACATCTCCTCTTTCCGCCTCTAACTAGAAAGAACTTCTTAAATTATTCTTGCAGACATTCCAGGAACTATGAAAACACACATACTCACATTTAATTGAACTATAACCCCCTGCGCAGTTTTCTGCATCTTTACACACCCCAGTGATGATCACAGAGATCAAGTGAGAGGGAGCACATAGATTTAAAATATATATATATATATATAGGGGTTTCTTTGACAGAATCTCACTCTGTTTCCCGGGCTACAGTGCCGTGGCGTCAGCCTAGCTCACAGCATCTTCAAACTCCTGGGCTCAAGCGATCCTCCTGCCTCAGCCTCCCGAGTAGCTGGGACTACAGGCATGCGCCACCATGCCTGGCTAATTTTTTCTATGTTTTTAGTTGTCCAGCTAATTTGTTTCTATTTTTAGTAGAGACAGGGTCTCACTCTTGCTCAGGCTGGTCTCGAACTCCTGACCTCGAGCAATCCACCGCCTTAGCCTCCCAGAGTGCTAGAATCCGATTACAGGCGTGAGCCACCGCGCCCGGCCCGATTTTTTAAAAATGTTTCTTAATAAGTGGTTACATATATATATGTATATATATATATATTTTTTTTTTTGAAAGTGGAGGAGAGAGGGTTTCCAAAGCCCAGCCTGGCAGAGGCGGTTCCGGGGCGAGCAGAGGCCTCGATCCCGGCACGCAGCGCAGCGCACGCAGCTGCTAAATCCATCGGCACGAGGCCGCCTCGGAGGAAAAAACACGGCTCAGGCTAATGTGCGTTGGACTGTTCTGTTTGAAATTCAAAGTAACTTTGAAGAGGTTTGTACCTTTAACTACCTCTGACATTCAGTCCGAAGCCATCTCTGATGTATGTTTTTATGAGAAACATGTGGCGGGCTCGCTCAACCCAACGCAGGCAACGCCGCCGCGCTTAGCGGTTCTGGCGTTCCGCTGGAGTAATGCGGACCAGTCTTCCCTAACGCTGAACAGGAAGCGCACAGTTAGCGCTGAACGTACATGTTCTTGCAATACTTCATTACGGCTTCGCACAGGCATTTGTTTTATGTTAAGTTGGGAATTAATAATTCGGTGACTGCTAACAGGCTGTGATGGTGGTTTTATCTGCAGAAAAGCCAAGAACCGATCAACGAAACTTTGTGAGTCTGCTGCCAGAAAAGAGAGAAAGGGGCAGAAATGGGGTGAAACTAGACTAATCGCCGAGTAGTCCCTGAAGCGAGTTTGAAACTGAACTATCAAGAAAAGAGGGCCGGGCGCGGTGGCTCACGCCT